AGGGCTCGATTGTTCTGGTTAAGCGCAAGTTGACTGACTTGAGTCTCTAAATTCCTGATGGCCGCACTTTGTTGATTTATTAAAGCTTGGTTTTGTGCTTGTRCWTGTGCAAARAGTCCTTTAATCATTGCTTCCAAAGAAGATGATTCTGACTGTGGAGGAGGTTTATTCTGAAAAGGTAGTTGTGAGTTTTGAAAACCTTGTTGATGATTCTGAGAGTTAGAACTGTTTCCATGATGTTGTGGTTGGAAATTAGAAGTTCCTTGTTGTTTATGGACTGGTGGGTTTAAAGTGGGACTGTTCCAAGAAAATTTCGGATGTTGTTTCTAGCTGGCATTATAGGTATTGGAAGAGGGATTAACTCGGTTATGAACATAGTTTACTGATTCAGCATTGTGAGGACAGTGTTCATACGAGTGTTCCCCGCCACAGCACACACATTGCATAGATAGGACTGTTTGGACTGGTGTATTAGCAGCTTGTTGTCCTCCCTGACCAGAAGTTAAGTTTTTCAACATGTTGGTCATGGAGGTAAGCTGGGCTGTTAATGCAGTATATGCATCTACATCATGTATCCCCGCAGTCTTTTTCTGTGACTGAGGGCGTGGGTCGGTCCAATGTCCATTGTTTACCGAAATCTTTTCTAGGATTTCATATCCTTCATTATAGGTCATAGCTGTAAAGGCTCCGCCCGCAGTCGCATCGAGCATTTGTTTTGCCATGGGATTTAACCCATTGTAAAACGTCTCGAGTTGAATACGGTACGGAATGCCATGGTGCGGCCATTTCCTCAACAGCTCTTTGAACCTTTCCCACACGTTAGGAACAGCCTCATCGTCCATTTGTTTGAAAAGATAAATCTCATTTATGGACTTAGCGTTCCTTGTTGGTGGGAAATATTTTCGCAAAAAAATTTCCGCCATGTTACTCCATGACGGCACAGAACCCGGCAAATTGGCCATTTGTTTGCAACATGAGAAACATTATGGGTTTGAGTTCAAAATGGAGAGTGGTCATATGTGGCCTAACTATCCCGAAATTTAATTGCTCAAAATCCGGAATAGCATAATCCATGATCCTCTCATTTTTGGAATTTGCCAAATTAATAATCTTCGGAGTTTGTGCTCTTTGGTTGTCATTAGGTTCAGATTCCATGTTCAAATTATTACCATTATGTGTATGTCCTTGTTGAAAGTTCGGGTATGGTGGAATCTGCTCAAAACCCGGCGGTTGATTTTCCAAATGTAGTATTTCCGGAATATTCGCGAGAGGTAACGCCATATTTTGAGGGAGTAGAGCAAAAAATGCCCTTTGAGCCCTCCTCCGATGGTGAAACGTTCTCTCAATATCAGGATCAAATTCGAAAAATTCCCTGCGATGTGACGTGGCATACACCACTTTTAAAAACGATTCTGATGGTACTAGAAAAATCAAATCTTTTAATTTACTCAAAATAAAACTTTTAGCGAAGCAATCCCATGCGGCGGCGCCAAAAACTTGGTCGGTTATATTTCACACCTTTAGACTAATGAAATTAGGCCACAAAACAAGCATACAATATGGCCCAACGTCGTCTTTCCAAGTAATAAAGTGGTACAAGTACCGGATTATCGTCCACAGTGATTGTAGCCAAAGTTAGATTAGAGTCTAATGAAAGAGATGATTTCAGATGGCGATTTTGAAGACTTTTGATTGATTGTATGGTGATCCAAAATAGAATACATAATATATAAAAGAAGCAAGGGTGTAAGACTTAAGGTGAGATCCAAACACAAATTCCAGCAGCCAATACTGTAGCAATGTTATAGGAATGCTACAGCAAGCAGTGTTTCGAAACTAAGTTCTACCATCTATTTTGAAGGCATTCCTCTCGAACTTCACCATTTCACTATCTTATAGCTTTCCACCCATATATCTATGTGGTGTCCGGACCGGGGATAGTGACATAATGGTGTTTTCAAAATATATGGATAAACAAATCTCTTCGTTAAAAATCACTCTCTCGAGTCGATTCCCATATCATTCGAGTTGGCGTGTTCTTGATATTTTTTCTCTGAATATATCACACTTTGACACTTTTGACAAGTGACCAACCCGTCGGGAGTTACGTTTTGAAAAACATAAATGACAACTCTCCTTGTCAGCAACTTTCTCAAGTCTACCTCTTATGTCATTCAAGTTGACGTGCTTAATGATGGCTTATCTCTAAGTCCATCGCACTTTTAACACTTTCAAGTGATCAACTCATCAAGAAGTATGCTTGGTTTTATAAGAACTCGAATGAAACAATGGAACGTCGTTTACGAAACACTTAGCTACTTTCGTTCGGTTTGAAAATCTCACCTTTCCRTCTCACACCCAAGCTATAAAAGCTTAGCTACTCATAACGGAAAGTAAAAAATAAATGACGGAAAATAAATACATAAACGTAAATTACGTAAAGTAAATGACAATAAAATAAATGAAGGAAAAGTAAATGACGATAAAATAAATGACGGGAATGTAAATGACGAGAATGTAAATTGCGGAAAATAAATGACGGAATGTAAATAGCGGAAAATAAAAGACGAGAAAATAAATGACAGAAAATAAAAGAAGAGAAAGTAAATAAAGAAAAAGATGAAGAACTTAAAGCCTTAAATTAAGAACACCCTTGGAGAGGGTTTACAAAAGCTAGCAWATGAGAGAAAAGATGGAAAGATTAAAATGAGAGATTAATGGATGAAGGATGTCTTGGAAGGCACCCCAAGGCCTCTATTTATACAAACAAAGGGCACTAGAAGACAAAATAAATAAACTTGTAGGATAAGTTTTCTAAAAGCTAGTTACAAAGCAACAAAAGTGTAACTAGAAAGTATAACTCCTTAGCCAAAGTTTAACTACAGATTTTCTACTAAAAATCCAGCTATTTCCAGTTGTCCTCCATCTTCAAAAAGTCAGCGTCTTGTTCATTAACCCCTCCAAAAAGTCGTGTATGAATCAGGTCGACGCTGCACCAATGCTGCAGCATTTGCTGTTTTCACAAAAACTCTCAATTAGCATCATTTACACATACCAACAAGTAAACCACAACATTTAGCTTCATAATAACAAAAGTATAAAGAAATGAATGAAAATGACTCAAAGTGGGAATGAAAAGAAATTATTATAACTAAAACGACGTAAAAAGAGCGCTTTATGTGTTAAATTCTCAACACATGTCAGTGACATGAATAGTTTATTCTATCTTCTGTCGGCATTTGTTGAATACTCAGAAGGCTTTGGATACTGAAGAATATCCAAGAAAGATTCCTTCATCAGCTTTGGGATCGAACTTTTCTAGTTGATCACGGTTGTTGAGAATAAAACACGATACAACCAAAGATATGTAGAAAGCTAATAGAGATCTTTCTGCCACGAAAAGTTCATAGGTTGTCTTCTTGAACCTCTTAACGATCAGCTATCAATTTTGAGTGAAACAAGCGGTGTTGACAGCTTCAGCTCAGAAATTGGTAGGGAGATGGGACTCACTGAGCATTGATCGAGCAGCCTCAATGATTGTTTGATTTCTCCTTTCAGCGACCCCATTTTGCTGAGGAGTTCTCACTTAAGAAAAGTTGTAAAAAATTTCCTTGTCCTTAAAGAAGTTATCCATAGCACTGTTTTTGAATTCAGTACCATGGTCACTTCTAATAAATCATACTTTAATGTTGTTAAGCACTTCTATTTTCTTGATGCACGATATGATGTCTTTAGGTGCTTCATTTTTGGATCTGAGAAAGAAGACCCAAGTATACCTAGAATACTCATCAACAATGACGAGTGTATACTTCTTTCCAGCAATAGATTGCACATTCACAGGACCAAAGAGATCCATGTGCAGTAGCTGAAGATGCGATGTCACTGAAGAGATTTGCTTTGACTTAAAGCTAGCTCTTGTTTGTTTTCCTTTCTCACACGCTGAGCAAAAAGATTCCTTTCAAAGGAGTGTTGAGGAAGACCAATGACAAGATCATTTCTAGACAATTCACTGAGTGTCTTGAAGTTAAGGTGAGAAAGTCGTTTGTGCCATAGCAAGTTAATGTTTGACTAGCCTTTAGAGAAGAAACAACTATTCTCAGTGATAGAACAATCCATATTGATGATGTAGACATTCTCTAGACGAGAACGGGTCAAGGAAACCTTATCACCTTTGTCATAGACATAGCATGAATTCTTGGAAAACTTCACTGTGTAGTCTTTATCACACAGTTGACTGATGCTGAGGAGGTTGTACTTCAGTCCTTCAACGTATGCAACACATTTGAATGTGGTTGCACCATTGGCTTTATCTTCTGAGAAGGGTTCGAGTGTGAGCATGCCTGCGGGACCTGAAAGATGGTGAACTATACATGAGCGGGGCGAAGCCAAAGAAAACTCTGGTGGAGGTTAATATACCAAAACCTCTGGTATATCCTTTTCCATTACCTCCAAAGGTGACGGAAGGTCCTCTTTCTTCCTTGTAGTTAATGAGCAGGGATTTGTCTCCGGTCATGTGCCTTGAGCATCCACTATCGAGTTACCATATGCCTTTGACTTCCTCACAAGGGAACAGTTTAAAAATGCTTTTGGTACCCATCTATTTGGGTCCAGCAATGTTAAAGGCTTCATCTATTGAGACTGAAGAACCAACGTCAGCAGACGGCTTCACTGAACCTGAAGAGGTTTTAGTGGAAATGGGAACAACCTCTGACGGTAGAAAGATAGAGTCAGGAAGTGTCTTCACTGGGCCTGATGAGGAGGCTTCAGTGGAGGGAACTACAACATTTGATACTAAAGGCTTAGCATCAGTTGTTGTCTTCAGTAAGCCTGAAGAAGAGGCTATAGTGGTTTTCTTCACCTTGGTTGCTTTAACAGCCTTAGTGGATGATTTTACTTTGGTTGATTTCTCAGCCTTAGCTACTTTCTTGCCCTTGGTTGGTGGACCAGCCTTGGCAGCATGTTGATCCCAGATCTCTTAATAACACTAATAATCTAGTTATAAATAACCAAATTATAGTGATTTTATAAAAAAAATTATGAAGACTCAAGAATAAAAATAAGAATATTTATAAACAATCTTGAGCTTCAAAGTAAACTCAGAAACATAAAACAATGCGTAAAAGCCTTATTTTTTATAATAGATATGATCACCTATTTATACTAATCGGCTATTAAGAAGATAACTATCTAATGCTACTTTCTAGCAAATCTTCTAT